TATTATTTTTATATGAATTAAATTGTATATTTTGTTCAAAAAAATAAGAAATAATATAGTATAATAGTATAGTATTGTAACACTCTGGCTTCAGGAATACGGTGGTGCATGCGGAGAGGTTTACAAGAATTGATTTGGCCACCTACGTCACCAAAGTGCACTTATCTTTTCGGTCAACTGTCCTGAGAGAACTCCACAGTTAAGCGTCTTGGGCTGGAGTAGTTTCAGGATGGGTGACTTTCCGGGAAGTGATTGTCGGAACTGTGTGAGTGAGGACAAAACACAGGGAAAGATCATGTGGTGATTTGTAGGGTCGGTAAACAAGTCTTTCAAGCCTCCCGGACGTAGCGGACCGGTCGTCGGACAGGGGTGGGCCCATGGGCCGAGAGAGGACGTGGGACCCATTGGTAGGGGCGGTCGGAGCGTTACAAGTGGTATCAGAGCCGAACCCAGACGAGTGTGGAGTCGAGAAGGCTCACACCGTAGGGGGTGACGGTCTTGGTGTGCAACGAAGACGTCGCGATCTGTTAGTGGGGGTGAATTGTAACACCCTGGCTTCAGGAATATGGTGTTGCATGTAGAGAGGTTTAAAAGAATTGATTTGGCCATCTATGTCACCAAAGTGCACTTATCTTTTCGGTCAACTGTCCTGAGAGAACTCCACAGTTAAACGTGTTTGGGCTGGCGTAGTTTCAGGATGTGTGACTTTCCGGGAAGTGATAGTCGGAACTATGTGAGTGAGGACAAAACACAAGGAAAGATCATGTGATGATTTGTAGGGTCGGCAAACAAGTCTTTAAAGCCTCCCGGACGTAGCGGACCGGCCGTCGGACAAGGGTGGGCCCATGGGCCGAGAGAGGACGTGGGTTCACTGGTAGGGGCGGTCGGAGCGTTAGAAGTATAAAAAGGAATATATCATAATATTTATTTTTATTACTATTTGGATATAATGTTATATATTTCATTTGACGATGGTTGTATATTTTGTTTGTAGAATTAAATAATAGTATATGATAAATTTTAAATCTATATTCTATATCATATTGGGTTATTTTATTGTAGGAATTAAATGTTGTTTAATCTTAACTTGGTTGAAAAAAATGATTTGGTAATAAAGAAGGAGATAATATTGTATTGTATATCAAATATATTTAGCTGCATTTGATTTGTATTTTTGTTTATATGAGATTAACAATTTATTTGGTTCAATTTGGTATTCATAATTGCATTGTGTCATTGAGAGAAAAAAAAATAGTTGTATTAGGTCTAAGTTTTTACGTGGGCTATATTAGGTTTTGTTTGGCCCGGTATCCTGTTGTTTAAAAAAAAAAAGAATATTTGACAAGATTTTATCTCTTCTTCCTTGATTAAGGAATAAATCTACGAATTAACAACGTCAAAACGCAAGATAAAACACAAATATCAATGAAAAAGAATTTTTGTTAGCAAGTCTTTCAAATATATTTTTGTTAGGCAAATTATTTTTGTTATAATTAGAAGTTATGTTATATAAACTACAAAAATTTGTAGGATATCACATTTGATTTTTTTTTATTCGAGTGTTCAGGTTTTGGATAAAAATATAGTTAAATAATGATTAATTAAATATAATTTATATTACATTTTAATATATCGTAATAATATAGAAATATTAATTGTTAGTAAATCTTATTTAGTTTGTCCAATGAAAATATTTTGATGTGGAAATTCATGTACTTTCATAGTATTATAAAATTTGGTTTGGTTTTACGTTAGTAAATTTGTGTGATCAAACCTAATAAACCTTTATTAATATAAACTCATATTCGGTTTCGATATAAGAATTTACATATAATTCGTAACAAAATTTGTTTGGTTTCACGTTGATGAATTTTTGTAACACACCGAATAAAACTTCACTAATTAACTTTTTTACATCATGACTTACATATTTTCAATTTAGAAAAATATTGTAAACTAGAGTTTTAGAAGAAACACCCAAAATCAAAATTTTCCTATTTATTTATGTTTTAGTATAATGATTTTTTGAATTTAAATTAAGTTTTTTAATACTAGGGTTTATTTTACCATTTATGAAAAGGTGGGGATTTAAAAACCCACAAAAAAAGTTGAGGGTTTTTTCTATGTTTTTATGAAAGGTGAGGGTTTTTCTACCCATTTTTCCCAAGTTTTAATATTCTCCATCTGTTTCAAAATATAGGATGGTTTAGCCAAATGCACACACTTTAAAAAATTTATTTTTCTTTAAAAAACTATCATTTAATATTTAATTTAATAAAATTCAACCAATTGTACAAAAGACTGCTGAATACTAATGGTCATAAAATATCAAATGAATTAAAAAGTTGTATAGAAAATTGTAAACATCCTATATTTTGAAACAAAAGAAAATCTCTAAAACATCCTATATTTTGAAACAAAATGAGTATTTAAAAGTAAAAATCTAAGCTTACAAATCTTATCATTTTTTTGTTGTAATTTTGTTTTCAATCTTGAAATCTGGTTAAAGCATATATCAAAGTAGCAACAATAGAAAATTAAAAGTACTGTACCTTGAACTTTAAAAATCACATCCCAATCAAATGTGAATTTTACTTTTCCATTATCAAATATAATATGCACCTGCATAATGTAGAAAAACATTCATATTAGAAAAGGATATTAACATCAATGTATATGAACTTATATATAACTTTATTAATATTAATTAATTAATATTAATTAATTTTATAATTTTATTTTAAGCTGATGAATTTATTGTATTTATTTTGTATGTTTTTTTTTCCTTTTTATATGTAAAATTTTCAAAAATCTAGGATTTAACCGGAAAAATATTTTATTTATATATATAGTAATATTAGATTTTGGTATTTTGTTATTTAGTATTAAAGTTATCTGAATTAAACTTTTGGTATTTTTAAATTTAACATGTATAACATATGTAATTGAATAACTTTTGACCCAAAAAAAATGTAATTGAATAACTTAGTATTGCAATTACACATTTAGACGGAGATTAAAACTTATAAAAACTTAAAATGTTATATTTTTACAATAAATTTGATCTAAGTATTAAAGTTATCTGATTATACTTTTTGGTTTTTAAGATTTAACCCATAAAACAGATGTAATTTAGTAACTCAATTACACATTTAGAGATTGACCCGTGTGACATTAGTGAAATCAGAATTTAGATATAAAATTTACATTTACAGAATTTAGTAAAATTGACCCGTGTGACATTAGTAAAATCAGAATTTAGACCCGTGGAATATTATACATTTACAAAATATCAGAATTTAGATCTAAAATTAGTGAAAACCAAAACATACATAGAAACAAAATCAGAAAAGAGAAAACATTAAACATGAATTACAAAATAGGATAACCAAAAAAAAAAAATGACAAAATATATTAAAAAATAAGGTGCGATTTAGTAACTAATTTTCTTATCTATAAAACATCTTACCAACGGATTATTAGAATTCAATTTTAATGCAAGCAATAATATCCTGATTTAATTTGTAGAGAATCTTACCCAAAATAACAACAAAATTTATAAAATATAGGAATCAAAAATTCGACCCGATTACCTTGAGCAAATATGTACTTCAAAAATGTTAAGTAGATTTTACATATACTTTTTTTTTTCTTCATCGATTGAGTAAGATATGTTGGTTTTTTAATTTTTGAATCATAGCATATGCATAAAAAAATCTAAAATTTTATTAACTTTATGTATTTTATAATAATTCAAAATTATATAAATATAAGATCAAATAAAAGTGAAATGAGAATCATATATTTATGTTTAAATTAAGTAGAGAGTTTTTAGGAAATTAGCTCAAGTTTGTTATATAATGAAGAGGAGATGTCGATTTAGGGTTAAGAAATTTAAATGTTCTAGTGGAATATTCTTTTAGCTTGCAGAGTAATCTTAATAAATTGAATGATAATCTTTTGATTAAATCTTTTAATATTTACATATTCAAACTAAAATAATTAACTAAAGATAGAATATTTGTTTTTTTAACAAAAAAGCATTCTTTAATGAAATAAAAAGATTTGAATATGATCTCGACTTATAGATTATTTAGCATTAAATATATTTAGAAATTTTGTATTTATTATGAAAATCTTGGAAATTTCTTTTACATTTGTAGAAAATAAATGAAAAATAGATTATGTAGCATTTATTTTTAAATTTTTTAAGAAATACTAAAAATAACAAACGAAAATATAGTTACCAAATTCGGATTAGTTAGCAATTTAGTTTTTAAATTTTAGATACACACCACAAAATTCGTAAAATTTTTATTAAATAAATTTTAATAGCACGAATTTATATCTAAATCTGAACAAATTATAACTACCAACAATATTTTCAAAGGGTTTCATGGAAACGGAATAACAGAAATTATTTGATGCATGATTAAGGTAAATAAAAACGATCTATTTATAATTTTTGATTAGTGAATTACTTTTATAATACGTGAATAACAATATTTTCTTTATAAATTTTATTTATAACAATTATAAAATCTAAACAAAATCTCTTTAATATCTTTAAACCCGTTTGACCCGTTAACCCGTTAATATATATTAGTGACATGGAATTAAAATGATTATGATTAGAGATCTCTAATGGCATATATGTAATTTCTTATAGAATCAACGTTACGACTTATAGGATGTACTTTCCAAATAATAGTATAGGATTTTGTATTTTTTTAATAAATTAACATGTAAAACCAAACTAAATCAGAAAAAAATAAAGAATGGAACCTTTTGACCAAATTTATATCCAAATTAATAAAGAAAAGTATTAGGTTTATCTTTTCTTTTATGGAAAGCTCATTACATATTATTAATTACTTAATATGGGAAATGTATTAAATATATGAATATATATATATATATATATACATATACATTTATGTATATATAAACACATAGTCAAGATCATTAAACTCAAATCTCAATATAAGTACAAGTATATTAGAAAATCAAAAGGTAAATCAGCTAAAACGATGTTAGATTTTACAGAAAATATTGGTAATTTATACGAAGAAGACAACAATTTGTTCATGGAAAAAGATGAAAAAAGCAAATCCACCAATGACTCAGATATTGCTTTCTATATACAAACTAGATTTTGTTATTAAATTTGTTCTTACTACATATATTTCTATTATATATCAACTTCTTCTAATATCGATTTTGAATATTCCTTGATAGGTATTGTTTTCTCGTGAGATTCAAAGTGTTGTTGCATCCTCTCAAAACTTCACTAATGGCGACCAAAAAATCTCCATCTTTTATATTACTTTCATTGATGGTGTTTGCTCTTATCCTTCTGCACATAATTTCAGGTAACATAATCATTTAATTATTGGTAATTCGTATATATTAAACATCAAATTCTTATATATATATCTGAAATCTTTTCGATTTTATGATGTCCTTACTCACTGAGTCAAAGTTACTAGATGCAAAAAAAAATATTTTGTAATTGCATACATGTACTAAAATATTATTTGATCATTTTTATATTTGAAATTATTATAATGTGTTTACTAATGATCCAAACAGGATCACAGTTAATCAGATTATGTAAGGAAGGATGTCCAGATGCAAGAGAATGTGACAGATTTTGCAAATCCTTAGGATGGTATGAAGGGGTTTGCCTGAAACAAAACACTCTTTGTTGCTGCAAAGACAATTATCCTCCATTATCTAGTCCTTCTGATTAAGAATTAATGTCTCATTTGATATGTCTCATCAACTAATTATCTATGAATAAAATATATATATATATATATATAATATTTAAAAATGATAGATCAATATTATCTCATCCAAAACTTAAATTAAGCAAAATATTTATTTGCAATTGAATCAAAATATTTATTTCCTTCTAAAATGTAAGAGAAGGAAAAAAAAATGGTAAACTGATGATTTAAATGACATTTTTCCCGTTATTAATTAGAAGTAGTTGAATACATGTAAGTAGAAAACGTAGACATTTAGAGGACACGAGTTTGATTTTCATTAGAAGGGAAAATTTATCAAAGACTAATTCCAGTTCTGGAATATGTTTGTGTCTTGGTTTAGAACTTCCATATTATAACTTATAAGCATGTAAAAAACATAACCACCGCCAAGAGTTCAGCAGACATTTCTTTGCTCGCATCGTCGCAATCATGTCAAAAGGATCCAATAAGAAATATTGGCCTCTTGGCAACCCATATCAGCCCTCTCATTTAAAATTCTTCTAGAGTTCTATGGTTAATTAAGAGCATCTTATTCTATGTCTCTTATCCATGATTGCCGCCAAGGTGTGTCAAGTGAGATCACATGGAAGAATATTGTGTGTGTTTGCAAATTCAATCCTCTTTAAGGGAAAGTTCTATTCGTCATTACCATTCTACATAGACATTCCTAATGATAAACGTGATCCAGTGGGTTCTTGTGTGAACATACCAAATTATTTGTTGTTTTGCAATACGGTTATCACTAAACTTGATCTCAAAGTTGTGTTCGGAATTGGAGGTGGTTGGATTCCAGTTTCTTATCCATGTGTGATCAGTTCTACAGAGGCGCCAATCACTTGAGGTCGTTGTACTTTAACATGAACTAGGACTCCCCTTGGTTCACACATTCTTGCCTATACTTTTAGCCGCGTCTTGATCACAAAATGTTGGCCCTTAGCTTTTTATGTTTTTTTTTCTCTTTTAAGACTTTAGTTTCGTTTTATATTCAATTTTTTTCATAAAAAAAAATTAAAATAACCTTAATTCTCAATAAATCAATGAAGTTTGTGAAAATCCTTATTCATTATTCGTAGTTTGGACTTTGATTGAAGAGAAAAAAATATAAAGAAACAAAAACGATATTTCATATTTGTAGTTTTGCATACTCATACAACACTCCTACAGTACAAAACCACACATGACACACCAAATAAATGGATTAAGGCACTCCCATGCACCTTATGTAGCTGGCCCAACCACGAAGTTCAAAGATCCTTTAGACTTGAGATCAGAAACGTCTTTCAACAACTTCGGAACCCTTTTGGCATATTTGTAGATCGGTCGATTCCCAAAACGAAGAGCCTTTCTAAATTGAACATCTTTTTACGAAAAAAATCATTGACATTCTTTGGGACACTCTCGACGTCTTGGAGCCATAGCTGGACTTCTTCATACCTTTGGTGACCTCTTATTTCCTCATCTGCTTTGACCCTTCGCTGCACATCATTTCGCTTTCCCTTGAGCTCTCTCATTGTTTTCTCCAGTTCCTGTAGATTCTTCGGAAGCTAGACCATAAAACTCCATTTATCATATAACCATTTACCGAATAGATTCACCATAAACAGTACTTCTGGAGGGATCGTCATAGAGAGAGAGTGAGAGATTCAGAGAGCAAAACCCATAAGATTCATATGTGAATAATACTCCTGCGCGTAGCGCGAGTAAGCCACTAGTAACTATTATATTTTATTTTAAAATAGTAATGAATATTAAATAGCCATAGTATATTTTTTAGAATAATTTATTATCAGTCTAGGAGGGACCATTTTGATAAATGGCAAGTATAGATTTGAAGCTTTGTTGCCATAGATTAGATCACAAATTTACTTTGATTTTTTTCTTAAGTGTTTTTATTATTATGTATTTAAAAACAAATTATTCTTAACTTATTTAAAAATCATTATTTATTATGTAGTAGAAAATCTTCTTTTCGTGTAGTTGTATTCTGTATATGGAAGAAATCAAGAATTGTTTCTTCTTGACTTACACAAATTATGGTGAATTTAATGTGAGAGCAGAAAGAAAGATTTTCTGGAAAAATTATATTTCAAAAGCTATAAAAGTTTCAAAACCAAACAACTAAGGTAGAAACTACTAAAGTATTCATGGAATTTTTCTTTGAAAATTAAATATAAATTTTATGAAAACGTTGATGTTGTATCCAACTCATGCTTGTTGGAAACGTTTGGCTTTGTGGTGCCAGCCAAGTGTGTCATCGTCGTCATATGCTGCGACACCAGATGTTTCTATCTTTTTGTTGTCCACTTGATTTGTTTTTGCTGTTTCTTCTTGTATAGTTTTGTCACCAACAGTGATTTCCTCAATTACACGTGTAATTGTAATAGTCTGGCAGGTAGCAGTGAAGCCTACAATATCTAACAAACATTGCGGTATTGAACTCTGATGGTTGATGGTACCACTATCATCACCCTGGAAATAAATGATTAATAAATCTAGATTTATTTATATAAGAATTACTTGTGTAACAGAAGTTATCTGTTCATATTTTTCCAATATATCTGCAACTCTAATACCAATTAGTTTAGTAGCTTCACGGTCAAAAAGCACGAAAGTTGTGACATCGTTCTTGTCACAAACTGATAGTTCGACTCGATAACCGTTTGGTTAATAATATATGTTGGTCTTTAGACATTTTGAGAATCTAATTTTAGGGGATAAATAGGATGTCAAAGGAGACACAAACCTTATAACACCAACAACATTTTCATTGTTGCACGTGTCACAATCCAACGCCGTGTCTTCTTGTCTTAGTTTACATGCACATTTTGTGCATGCAATGAAGTGCCAGCCATAATGTGGTGATATTTCGAGGATTGTAGCGATGCAATTAAAGGTGGCTTTATGTTATGGCGATATAATTGTAAGAAACTAATGGATTAAAAACCGAGTACGAATTAAAAGAACCAATGTTTGATATCAATGTTAATACCTGTGGAGTGTCATTTTCCATAAATTGATAGAGGTCAGCAATGGTGGCAGGTTCTGACTTTGTCACCTCGCTGTGGATGATAACAGAGTTCTTACCTTCTTCCCCAAGCCTTAAAAAATAAATAAATCTTACTTAGTACAGATGTAACTGTAAACAATACAGACTGAAAAAAAAAACAATATAGACTGACTAAATATATATATATCCATACATACCATGTCAAGTATTCAGTACTTGGGTCAACATCGTTGACGAAAAATATCCGAGTAGAAGAAGTGGAGGAGAGACAGAACATATCTTCACCATGCAATTAAAATTTGGTGGTAATCTTAGGTGATTCATATTATTGAAAGTCATAAATGTGTTTGAGACAATTATAGGTTTGAGATTACATACCTCTAACTGTTCTTGGATTCACAGCAGTAGCGAGGAGTACGACAGGTTTGACAAAACTTTTCATCAGTTTTTTCCGGAAACATTATCCCAAAGGGTTAGACGAACAACTGGTCCACTGGTTCAAAACGCAGAGAAGATGGTAAGTAAACATAGTTTGTATTCAAACTTATAACTGGTGAGAGCTGAGGGGGAAAACTTGCTTACTCTTTTAGTTGTAGGTGAAATTCTATTTTGCCTTTAATCACGCCATTAGTTATGTCACTATCTTTACCATTCGAGATTGGATTGTTCAAGTTATCATCGTTGATGAGAACCATCTTTCCAATGGCATCTATGTAGTGCAGGTCTGGAGTTAGAACATAGTGATATAATAAGGAATATATAAACAACAAAATATTTACCATATAGGTCCATGTTCATGTCAACTGCTTCTTCAAACTCCGTAAAAGAACGGATCTCCTAAACTTTTGCCTTTCAATTGAGTGGTCGGCCTCAACAATTTGATCCAACTTTGTTTGATAGGTGAATTGAATTAGAAACTTGTGGGAAGACACCCTGTAGCTTGTCTTGTTTTTAGTGACTAAGAAATTTTTGATCTTGTAGACTACATCGGGCTTGAGCTTTCCCTCATAGCTGCCTATTCAATTTGCCGTAATGAATGCTTGGATCAGAGTAGACTGCATAAATTCATGTTAGAGATTATTTACTTATGAGATGTTTAAATGTAAATGAATTTTCAGCTACCTTTTGGTCGATGAGGAGCAGTTCTAGACCCATAAGTAAGCCACCCTTTCTGGGGATTCGTGCCTCCCAGAAGTGAATGACCCTAACAATAACTTCCTTGTTAGTAAAACCTTTTTTAAGGTCGTCAAAAACCACGCAAGGAAGTGTTTTGGGAGAAGAGGAAGAAGCTGAAGGTGCCATAGTTTTTTTTGTGTGAGATTCAAAGAATAAAGTGTTTGGTTTGTGTATGTTCAATTGAAAGTTGTAGATAGTTTATTTACAGGGGAGGCCACTATTTTGGAAGTTAGAAACTTTCCCCTTTTTTGTGGAACTTTCTAATTTTAACAGAATGTTACTATAGTTCTGAAACCCTATCAAATAATTTTATAGTATATTGTAAATTTAGTTTTCCTTTTCGTTAGTATTTGGAAAGCTAAAACTCATGCTTCTCTTAGACTAACAACATTTACTTATTTTCTTGTGTTGGTAATTGTAATTTTTTTTTGTAGGAGTTTTCCTTTACTTGGTTATTTTATTTTTTAATCATGAACACGGATTTTCTTAATGAAGCTTAAAGTATTCATGAAACAAAAACGAATATAATGAAACACATAATATTATTATCATAAACACAAATTATCTTGAAGCTTTATGTTTTAGCTAAAAATCATAGTTTTTTTAGACTAATAACATTAAGTTTTATTTTCCCACGGTGACAATTGTAAATTTCACTTCTAATTGTTACGTAAATTTTCCATTACAATTTACAGTAACTATTATTTTTTATTT